GCAACTCCCATGGGACACGTGGAGGGCAGCCCTTTCCTTCCGAATACAACCTACATCAGATGCTCTCCATGAGGGACAGGTCTGTGGGCAAAGTGATGATTGTAGTGATAGGCATGCAGAACTGGCAGTCCCAGAAAGAATCCAGTGACGGGGGGTGAGGAGCTTCACTGCTGGGAGACTGGCCTTGGGTCAGACAACTGCAGACAACTGCAATAGGGTCAACACTCACAATAAGACAGAGTGAACTCAGTCCAAATATGAAAAAAGCAAGGGGGGTTATATAGCCAAGGAGCACGGTGTGGCAGAAGGTGAGGACAAAATTACTAAGCAGAGACCTCAAAGGCAGGGGTTTCTGGCTGACCTGACCAAACAGGATTCTTGCTGAAGGCAGGACACGGCCTTAGACACCAAAGGTGAGGGATGAGGACTTGATCAGATGTCGACGGTGATCGGTTGCTGAGAAGAGCAGGATTCTCCCTAGAATGATTTAGCAGGATTCGTATCTAAAACTGGGCAATGCAGACCTGGCAGGTAGGCGCTGGAGACCAAGGTTGAGGCCTAGAGGAGAAGGCTCAGAGGAGCCTGGAAGGTTCTTTAGATACAGTCTTGTGGCTTCATCCAGCTCCTCTGTGACAGGAGGAGAGGGCAGGCAGGGCCACAGGAGGGGGCAGGCCGGGCCACAGGAGGGGGCAGGCCCATCCTCATGGTCTCTGGCTCCAGCTCCAGCACCCACTGATTGAGTTCAACAGGATTCCAGGTGGGAACAGGATCCACTCTCCACAGTCACTGCACTCTGCTAATGGAAATGATACCTAAGGTTACACAAACAGTGACAGGGAAGTTCCAGCAGTGACCTGGATGGGGATGAGGAAAAAAACTCTGATGACCCAAAGATGCCAAGGGGATTGCTTTCCCCTTCAGAGCCATGTTTTCTTCTGGGCCAGGCCCCTGCAGGCTGTGACCAGGGAGTCAGGGGAAGTCCCTGGATGTACCAGCCAGCAGCCCGAGTTCCCAGCCCAACCTCTCCCTGTCCTCTCCACTTGGCTGTGGTTCTCCAGTCACCGGCTCTGCTCAGAAGAATGGACTCCTTGAGAAAATAAATAGCAACACTGTCATCTAAAATCCTAAGAGCTATTTACACCTCGGTCCCTGAGCCTAAACTGCCCAAGTATTCTCTTCCCCAAGGATTCTCTTCCCCAATAGAGGGCCAAACTATCAGACCTCAGATGCTGGGCTCTGCACTCCCCTTCTCCTGCAGGGGCTTCTGGCCTGCTTCCTGGTGAGTGTCACTGTTCATAATAACATGGCTTCGTCCCCATCAGAGCCCAGATGCTTCCCATCTGATGGTAATGGTGGCCGATAGGCCAGGAGCATCCCACGCCCCCCACAGTTGGGAGCAGGGAGGGGGAAGGAGGAAAGATGTGTAAGAGACAAACTTGACCCCAGAGAATGCCCAGCACTCCATAAAGGAGGCTCTGGGCTTCCCCTTTAAGAAGCTACCAACACCTGTGGCAGTTCAGTGTCAACTCCTGTCATCGACACTGATTGTTAGTCGGCCAAAACCTGGATGTGAGGAATCTCAACTCCTGGCCAACTTGATGTAACCACTGTTACTTTAGGTGGTTTATGTCCTTAGGTGTTTACTGATCATAAATTGGTTAGTGTTCCCCTTTACTGTTGACTTATTACAGAGAACTTCTGCCACTCACCTAATTTCTCACTCTGCTAATTCAATCATGGGATCAAGATGCACACGCAGCCTGGGAGAACCCAGCTTTTTCTTTCGTCTCCCAGGAGAAGGGAAACATGCCCACTCCTGGGCAGCTGGACTCCTCCAGGTTATAAGGGTGCTGGAGGCCCCAGGCTTGGTCCTGAGTCTGTTGTGTCTCTCTGGGTCCCTGCTGGCCCATCGTTGGGGCTGTAGGCTATGGGAACTAAGGCTCCATCTTTTCTTTTTTTTTTTTTTTTGAGATGGGATCTCACTATGTTGCACAGTGTGGTCTGACACACCTGGGCTCAAGAGATCCTCCCGCCTCAGTCTCAAGAGTCACTGTAAGGTATGATATAACACTGAGCTACTGTAAATTTCAACCATGCTTAAGCATCACTGCAGAATCAAACACATCTTGCTGGTTTTGAACCACCAGACACTACCATTTACGAAGCACCTCACCTTTCCATATACGTGACACACAGAGAAGGCAAAACATTTGCCCAAAGTCACCCAGCAGCTGGAACAGCTGTCCATCTACCTTGACCTTCCACTTCCCAACACCCATGCTGGATGCATCTCTTGTGGCTCCTGAGAATGTCCTGCACGGGGGTCTGTTCCACTGAGATTAGAGTGGTCACTTTATCATCCCAGTTGACCCTCCCCATGGCTCACTCCAGTGTCCTGCAAAGGATGACCACTGGTGGTGGCATCACATACAGGAAAGTAGGCCAGCACTCCAGCTCCCACCCCACACTCCACCCACAACCATAGGCCTGTTATGTGGATGACCTGCACCTTCTTCCTAAAGACAAAACACAGGAGAGATATCTGTGTATTTCAGCTTACGCTCTGCACAGCACATCCTCCTGAGACTCCAGCCCCAGTGGCCAGGGAAGGTGGGAGCCACAGCGGAGAATTAACTCCTACCTTTGGAGATGACCATTCTGCTCACAATACTGGTAAGTGACTTCCTCTCTTTCCCTGTCTGGGGATCTCTCCCCACTTTCCTGTCTAACTAGGAGGCATCATGTGCAGCCCTGTTTGAAGGCCTTCCCTCCCTCTCCCAGCAGTAAACACCATGCCTGAGACACCTGCTGTGTCTGGCAGGGTGCATGGCTTTTCCAGGGGTGCTGCATTCACAGTGGGGTGAGAAGACCACTGGGCCTCAGGTAACAGGGTCCCCAATTCTAACACTGAACATGAACCCGTCAGTAATGTTGCTTCCACTGTTGAGTTCCTGCCGATCCAGCCCAGCCATGGCCGAGTCCCAGGATCACAGCGGGTCTGGGCTGACGCTGGCCGACCCTCACCTCCCCCACTCCCAGGAGAGTCCTCTTGGTGCCCTGCAAAGGCCCAGGGTTTCCAGGTGTTTCTGGCAAAGCCTGCCACCTCACCATAAGGGCACTTGCCACAGGGTCACCTTCAGGCCTGCAGGGTGGGGTTGAGACAACACGGGGAGCAGTTGTCTGTTCAGGGCCCCCCCACTCCCCACTCCAGGAGTCACATTCCAGCCCAGGACTGCAGCCTCCGGAGCTGGGGGCTCTGACAGCCCACAGGGCACCCAGCTGGCCACGTCCTCGGTCTGGGGAGAAGGAGAACTCACAATCCCAGCAATGAAGGAAATCGGGGGCTGCTGGAAAGCCACGCTGAGCAAAGGACAAAGACACACTGGGGCTCAGACTGCAGGACTCATTCCTGGGAAGCTAAGGACAGGAGACAAAGCAGTCTACAGGGCCGGATGGGGGCTGCCAGGGCGGGGTGGGCACGAGGGCGGGCTGCAGAGGCAGGAGAACATCATCTGGCGAAGGCAGATGTCAGATCTGTACAAAGTGGTAACACGGGTGTAGGCATTTATGAAATCTCTCAGGTCAAACATACAATTAGGCATTTTATTGTATATAAATGTTATCTTATTCAAAGTAATTTTAAATGTTATGTGTGTTTTCCAAGCAGTGCACAGAGGACCAGTGCCGGCAGCATGGCTCCCAGCGGGGAGGAGCAAGAGAGGCTTTTGGGCTCCCACATTCATCCTGTGGCTGCTGCTCCCTCTCCTGACAGCCCCACTGCCTGCCAGGGGTCTCCCTGCACCTTCCACCCGGCCCCACCCACGGTTATGGTGATTCCGGGTTGTTCCCTTCCCTGCTCACACCCCCTCCAGGAGCTTCCTCTTGGAGCAGGCCCGCCCAGCCCCACCTCAGGGCCTTTGCCCTGGCTGTTCGCCCGCTGCCTGGGGCTTCTCAACCTGACCAGTCTCACAGAGACCTCCCTGACCCGGGTCCAGTGGCACCCATCTCTGTCTAACTGAACGACTATAACTCCCTAATCTAAATTATTGATGACCACTCCCTGTCCTCCCACAGCCCCTAAGGGGCTGGGCTGTCAGTACCACAGCCACCAGCAGCCACTCGTGGCAACGGGGCACTTGAAATGGGCTAGTCCAAAATGACACTTGGTCTAACTGTAAAAAATACACAGGGAACTTCAACATTACACACAGACAAAAGAATGTTAACCAGCTCCTCAAGAATAGTTCTTATGTGTTGAAAGCATTTTGGATACATTCGGTTAACGTGGAAATACTAAAATTACTTTCAGCTGTATCTTTTAACCTTTCAAATGTGTCTCCCAGAAAGTTTTAAGTTGCTCCTGGGTTTTTGTCCCATCTCTGTGGGCAGCAGCTCTGCGATATCATGTCTATGGCTCCATTGTCCAGACTGCCTGGTGCAGGCGGAAGCTGGTAACAGGTTTGTTTATTGAATAATGAGGAGTTATGACGAGAGAACTCAATGACCTTTTCCCAAAAGTTAATTACTTTATGTTTGGCAAAGAAGTTCTGTAGATCAGTGCATGGGCAAGGTCATCCCAAGCTTGTGAAGCAGGCTCCCTGCTCCGGGAATTCCCGCCGTGACCATGTGCTCTTGGACACGCCTCACAGGTGAAGCCTTTAGGAGGCCAAGCCCTGTATTTCTCTTTCCTGAGGAGATAGGCAGTCATCAGGTTCTGCAGCCCAGGGAGCAGTGCTCTCTGGAGTCCAGGGTGAGCCAAGCTTTTGAGCACTGGGGAAGAGGGGCAGGGCTGGGGGCAGGTGAGGACAGGAGTAGGGAAGAGGAGGAGAAGGAGGTGTGGGAGGAGCAAAGGGAACTTAGGGAGAGAGGGAAGTGGTGGGGATGGAAAGAGAGATGCAGACAGAGGAGGAGGGGTAGAAAGAGGAGGAGATGCCAGGGGCAGGGCCAGGGAGCACACCCAAGCAGGATAAAGGCACAACTGCCTTCTGGCCTGGGCTTCCTGCCTCAGGCTCATGCTTCTTTGCTCTCAGGGAGCTCCATCTCCTTGCTCTGTGTCCCAGCAGACCATGGCCTGGCCCCTGAACACCCCACTGCTGCTGCTGACTGCCTTGATGATGACTCTGGCCGGGAGTGCCTCAGCCCAATCTGGGATGACCCTGTTAGGTGGCATCCATGCAGCAGACCTCAATGACAAGAGTGTACAGCGTGCCCTGAACTTTGCCATCAGCGAATACAACAAGGACAGTAAGGATGAGTACTACAGCCGCCCCCGGCAGGTGATGGCTGCCCAAAAGCAGGTGGGTGCTGCCCCCACCCCGGGGGTCCTAAGTCCCACCCCTGAGAGCATTCTTCCCAAATCAACATGATCTAAAGCTTAGACTCATTCAGCTTTCCCTGACTGTCTGCTGCTGGCCTTCATCCGCTAGGATGCTCCCAGGACATGAGTTCAGCCCTGTCCTGTCCTCTCAGCCTCCTTTGACCTACAGCAGCCGCTGTGTCTGTGCCATGATGTTGACATTGGCCAGGGTCCAGCAGGTGGGACTGTACCAACTCTGGGTGGGCTTGGCACTGCTCAGGATGAGATCCAGGCCATGAGGCTCATCCTCCTCCCTGACTCCTCTCCACAGGGGCCACACGGGAGCCTGGCCCCTTGTCTTGCAGAGCCCTGCTTCTCTCTTCAAGTCACACTCTGGGCACAGCCCCTTAGGACTAGTGGCCTTCACCCTCAGGCTGGCTGACCATCCCCTATAGACCAGGGCAGCTGAATCCCTGCTCAGGGAGAGCACACCTGACTCTGCCTTTGTCAGCTGATGCAGAATTAGACCTCAGCCAGATGAGGACAGCAGTCACCTGAATAAGGACGGACTGATGGGTCAGCTCTTAGAAGGGCTTGACTTCACTGCATCTTGTTAAGTTTCTAAGGAATGCCAGATTTTCTTTTTGTGATTGGAGACACGAGGTAAAATTGGTCTTGGACGAAGGAGGCTGGATGGCCCTTGGGGGCTGACTTGCAGGGTGCTGCACTTCAGGAAAAAGCAGCAGAGCAGAGGAGGGCTCAGGTCAAGAGGGAGCTTCAGCAGGGCTACAGGCCCAGCATGTCCTATGGCCAGTGGCAGAGCAGCAAACAGTAACACAGTGACCACAGGGCTGTATGGCCTGCCAGCCCTTAGAGCTCTTCCACCTTCTCTTGGAAAGTTGTAGGAGTCCAGACCAGCCCCATTTATCCTCCAGCAGCTCTCTCCCTGCACACGAGGAGCACTCCCTGGTGCTGTGGTCCCTGCTGGCCTGTGCCTCCCTCTCAAGTGTGACACTCACTTGCAGTGAAGCACAGAATGATGTAGGTTATTGGGTCCTGGAGCCTGTGTTACAGAGGAGCAGACTGACATGGGAGGGATCACAGGACTTACATGTGGTTCCACAGGGCAAGGTCTAGCACCCCAGTCCCAGGGTCCCTCACTGTTAGAGACAAAATGCTTGTTCCTAGGTGCTACAAGGAAATATTCTCATTTAGACAAAAAGTTTTATCAGTAAGGCAGTTTTACTTTCTGCAGAAAGGGTGCTACTCATCAGCAATCTTGCCATGAGTGCACACTGAACAAAGGAGAGGCAGGAATATTTATCTGTTACACACTGGGTCTTTACCGCTGTGTCTTATCTTTGTCGGTGGGAGCTGGACCTCACAGTCTAAGCTAAACTCAATAGGCTGACAACTTACACCTTTCTTAAACAGGTAAAAGCAATGTAGAACAGAGGAAAAGATGAAGTTGCTTCTACAAGTAGAAAAAAATATTACTTAGAAAGGTAGCAATATTTTTTTTTTTTTTGAGACTGAGTTTTTGCTCTTGTTACCCAGGCTGGAGTGCTATGGCACGATCTCGGCTCACCGCAACCTCCGCCTCCTGGGTTCAGGCAATTCTCCTGCCTCAGCCTCCCGAGTAGCTGGGATTACAGGCACGCACCACCATGCCCAGCTAATTTTTTGTATTTTTAGTAGAGACGGGGTTTCACCATGTTGACCAGGATGGTCTCGATCTCTTGACCTCGTGATCCACCCACCTCGGCCTCCCAAAGTGCTGGGATTACAGGTGTGAGCCACCACCTCCGGCCCAAAAGGTAGTAACATTTCTAAGTAAGGAAGGCGCATGGGATGCGAGCTGGGACCTGCCTGAACATGTTCAGAACAAATACGTTGGTTAAAGTACAAGGACACAGAGTGGATTTATGTCTTGTATCTAACAGCTACATAGAATAGGGCTTAACAGAGTTATTAGCAACACACACACACACACACACACGGAGGCTTTGAAGGAAGTTAGTCTTTAAAAGAAACTATTTCTCACTTTTATTGTTCATTCTTTAACAAGAAAGGAAACTCCGATGAGGACTTTTTACTTCTCACACTCACCACAGGCTTCGCCACAGTTGTGACAGGTCATGCCTGGGGGTGGCACTGTGCAGAGAGAGGACTCAGTTTTCTACTGAAGTCGCAACTGTGAGACTTGCAGGAAATGCTGCCACCAAAATCACAGCTGGAACGTGGGTGCTGGGGAGGCAACTGTGACACATGCAGGTGTGTGACTCACTTTAGAAATGCCACCAAAATCACAGCTGGAACGCAGGAGCTGGGGAGGCAACTGTGACACATGCAGGTGTGTGACTCACGTTAGAAATGCTGCCACCAAAATCACAGCTGGAACGCGGGCACTGGGGAGGCAGTCTCTTTCTCAGTGACCTAAAACATCCACGTGTGAAGCCTCTTATTTCCTTCTGTAAATGAGCAGTAAATAAATCTGGGTTAATGGAGGGAATGAGGTGCTCTCTGGGCTGAATGGGCTGGAAGTCAGCTCCTGGCATTCAGGGGACAGTCTTCCCGGGATGGCTCCAGTGTCCCTGCCCCCTGAGCACAGGTAGCAGAATTCAGTTAATCCCCTGCTGTGGAAAGAAGCATACTCTTGGGACTTAGACCCTGTCCTGCACACCTGGTGCCAGGACTGTTTCTTTGTCCCACCCTGGCTGGCTGCCCAGAGCTGTGCCTTCTGTTCCTGAGCCCAGTGAAGGGGGTTTTAGGTCCTGGCCTCATCTGCCCTGCTTCTGCTTCTCCTCCTACTGGGCTGCATGAGACACTCTGTTTGAGTTACTCAGAGAAAAGAAGTTACCAGGGAGACCTGGGACCCAGTACCCGTGCCAGCCATCAGGAGAAAGTGGCTCGTGTGCCGTTTGGGTGACAGTGTGGGCAGCATGAAGCCCCAGGCAAGCCCAGTGACTCAGTCACAGTGAAGTGCCTGTGTGTGCATGAAACTGACGGTGTGCTGTCCCTGCCTCCTGCTCTTCCTTGCTTGTAGATCGTGGGTGGGGTGAACTATTTCTTCAATGTGAAGTTCGCTAGAACCACATGCACCAAGTCCCAGCCCAACTTGGACAACTGTCCCTTCAATGACCAGCCGGAACTGAAAGAGGTATGTGCCTAATGTGGGTCAGGGGCATCAAGCACTGCAGAGCAGTGTGTGCATGTGTGCGTGTGTGTGTGTGCCTGTGTGCCTGTACTCCTGCACATGCTCAGGAGAGCGTGTGTGCAAGTGTACAGATATCTGTAGAGCCATGCATGCAAGGATGTGTTCATGTGCATAGGAAGATGCATGTGTGTTTGGCACACCCGTGCAGATGTGTACTGTGAAGTGAAAAAATGCATTTGTGCATATGGAGTGTTGTGTGTGCATGAATGTATGTGTGGGCTGGTATGCACATGTGGGTATGCATGTGGAAAGGTGCGTGTGTGTACACATATGAGGAAGGTGCACAGGAGCGTGTGTGCACGTGTGTGGATGTGTGAAGGAGTGTATGGGGTCACATATAGATTATTGTGGGTGAGGGTTGGTGTGAGCTTATGTAGATGCTTATGAATTTGATTTGCGAAGCAGGCTTTAGCTTGGGAATGGGGGTACTGGGAGCTCCACGCTGTGTGCTTTTGGGTGTTACCTGCTGGGCTGGAGGAGGCAGGTGCCGGGCTGGGTTCTGGGAAGAGGCAGTTGCAGTGCTGGGATCTGGGAAGAGAGAAGGGGCTCTGTCTAATCCCAGCCGCAGGCCCCTGCCAGTAGCCACAGCCAAACAGTGCATGTTAGAAGGAATTAAATGCCTGTTATCTGAGAAACCCTGGACCTGCCCCAGCTCACCCAACACCAGCCTCTCCAAGGACCTGGGATTTCTTCTCAGGTCTCTGCTCAGGGGAGAGCCACAACACTGTCCTTGTCATCTCCTCGTCACCTCGGGCACTTTGAGTTGCAATTTCCAGTTCCCTGGGTTCTTCCCTCTGTCCCCTCTTGGTGCTGGCCTGGGTGCTGGAGGTAGAAGGAGCTGGGGGCAGTGAGCCACCTCCCCCTGCCCTGCACCCTTGGGTCTCCCGAGGCCTTGCACAGGCTGCTCCTCACAGAGCTGTGCTGGGGCAGGAATCCGGTAGGCTGGGTGAGGGCCCAGTGCCACCTGGGGACTTGGAGCCTTGGGAGGGGCAAACAGTCACTGCCCAGTTGGGCTCGGTGCCCAGGAACGTGGCAGGGGCGGGTCAGTGGGGGGCCCAGTGTCCCATCTCCATCCACTCTCACGCCCATTCTGCTGTCCTGTTCCTGGGCATCTTTTGCTTTAACTGTAACCCACACGCATTCTCTCTCTCTCTTTCTTTTCACAGGAGGATTTCTGCTCTTTCCAGATCTACGAAGTTCCTTGGGAGGATAAAATTTCCATGGTGAACTACAAGTGCCGAAAAGTCTAGGGGTCTATGCCAGGCCCGCCGCACCGACCACCTCCTAGTCCCACCCCTGCAGTCTCCCAGCCCTGGACCGGTGACCCTGCCCTGGGGAAGGTCTCCCCACGCCTGCACCAGGAGACAGAGAAAGCGGCAGAGGCCTTTGTGGCTCGGCTGGCGGTACTGCCCTCCTTCCTTCTTGCTTCTCACAGCCCCTGTGTGCAGTGCACACGCCCCACCTCCTGTAATAAAACAGTAGCATCTCCCCCCTCTGAGTTCTTGGCTGTCTGAGGATGTGCACACAGGCGGGTTTCCACAGTTCCCTCATGAAGCCTCCTTGTTCTGCTGCTGTGGAGATTACAGGAGCATCTGGGAGCCGACGCGACCACAGCAAGGCCATTGGAGGAGCTGCTGTGACTTTAGGAGACCTGAGCCTCAGAACAGGAAGAGAGCAGCTGGGGGCTGAGAACCCAGGCCTTCAGCCTCAGCAGCCCCTGGTGAGGGGGTCAGGGAGAGACGGGCACCCAGGCTGCTGCCCCGGAAGATGGGCTGCTGCTTTGGTCTGAGCTCCTGGTGAGACCAGGAAGAGGGGCTGGCTGTGTCCACAGGCCGTGGATTCCATCTGTGCCTGCAGAGTTGAGCAGACTCCAGGGACTCAGCTTCTCTCATCCAGTCCCCTAGACACTAAACAGATAGTGATCGATGTCTGCTTCTTTCCCCAAGAAACTGGGCCCTTACATGGAAACAAAGTCCAAAAGTGTGTGTGTGTGTGTGCGTGCGCGCGCGCGCATGTGTGTGTTTGAACTTATGGGGACGGGCAACCAGATCAGAGACGGGCAAGATCACACAGAGAAAGCAGCACTGGCTGTCATCCGTCCTGGGACGGTGTGCTCCAGGATGGGTGGTTTTGCCCTAGGAGGGTTTTGGCAATTCACACCCACCGACCCATTCTCTGGACTTGAAGTTTTAAAAAGTGCTCGTGTCAAACTTAATATTAGGGATAGAGAAGTTAGAACACAAATGGGACTGGCGTGCAGTGGACTGTTTTTTTCCAAGGAGGATGTTTCAATTAATAAAAGACATCTCCTTCATGTCAGTATCATTCGTGGAATAGTAGATATCTGTACCTCAAGCAGGAGGCTCCAGTCCTAAGACACCTGGCCCCGACCCACGTGGCCCTTCTCTTTGCTATTTTAGTTCAAAAAGAGGGGGTGCAGCCCTCAGGGCAGGTGCCTCTGGCCCAGGGCTCTGAAATACCTTCCCCACTCAGAGCTGCATTGACCAAGGGTGGCTGCCATGAACAGTGAGGGGGAGATGACAAAGGGGACGCTGCTGAAACAGCCCTGAGGCCAACACCCCATGTGCCACGCCTAGGAAGCCGGGAGGAGAGTGGTCTGGCAGGGAGAGTGGGGAGCATCTGCTTCCATTTCCTCTCCACGTTCACAGTAGTTTTTCAGCCAGGTTGTTTTTCACTGTCTCCTCCCTACGTCTGCATTTTAAAAACTAACAAATGCTATGGCTGAATGTCTACTGCTATGGTTGACATGCCACGTTAACGTCAAGTGAATCAGGTGTTGATTTTCGGCATAAGGCGTTTCCCCTGCTCTCTGAGTGGCAGCAGCCATTTGGTATTCAACACATTTTTCCTTTTTTTTTCATGACACTGAATGGTAGATCCTCTCTCAGCTAAACTGTGAGCTACTGGGGAAAAGAGGACGTATGTTCGCTCACGTTCCCTAAGGAACCTTTACTAGCAGAGTTCACCGTTCCTGTGGACACGATGATTGCAATTCGCAGGGAGACTCAGCTGGCTTTAGAGTCCTCCATCTCTTTCATCCTCCTGTATTGTACTCCCACTGAATGTCAGGAGGAGGTAGCCTGCTGCTCAGTCACACGGAAAGTAAGAAACCACCAGGAAGAGGTTGGTACGCACTTAACTTTGGCCCAAGCCCAGAGCATTGCATCCACATGTCAGCACCCACGCCTCAACACTGAAATGGTGTGCAGCCACTGATCTCGTTAGGAATCTGATGAAAATTCTAGAAATGGTGTGTGTGTGTGCACACTCCTACATATACACATGCATAAGCTTCCGAGAACAATGGAGTTTCTACAAGCTCTCGATGAACTCGCATATTAAGGGACTTGGTTCTGGAAACCGGAGCAGCTGTCAGTTCCCTTCCTCCTGCCTGAACCCAAGTGCAAAGACTAAAAGTATCAGGCAATGAACTTCCCAGCTTTCTTCACCCCTGGGGAAATACAGCTCAGGTCCAGCCAACAACTGCCAATCACTTGGCAGGTAATACTAAGGGAGTATCTGCTGGATAAACAGAGAGAAGCCCTCTGAAGAGCGTTCGCTCTCTCTCTCTCTCTCTCTCTCTCTCTCTCTCTCTCTCTCTCTCTCGCTCTCTCTCTCTCTCTCTCTCTCTCTCGCTCTCTCTCTCTATCTCTCTCGCTCTCGGTCTCTCTCTCTCCCTCGCTCTCTCTCTCTCTCTCTCTCTCCCTCGCTCGCTCTCTCTTTCTCGCTCTCTCTCTCTCATTGTCTCTCTCCCCACCCTCCTCTCATGCCCTGTGACCTCCTCCTGCTCTTACTCCTCACCTCTAAGGCTGTTGTGTGGGACAGGATGCCTCGGGCTGTGGTGTCCGCCTTTCTCTCATGAGCAGTGTGCTCAAGAACAAGAGCCCAAGGAATGACGGAGAAGATGGAAGGAAACCACCTGGGCCCCTGCTGAGGACGCTGCACCAACTCTGTGAACACCACCCCCACGGCCTTTGGTAAATGACCAGTGTCATCATGGGCGAGGTGGCCACTGTTTCTGAGGAGCCCAGCTACCTGCAGCCAGGATGCTCCTAGGAGCAATGGAGCTGACACATCACTGTCAGTCCCAGAGCCAGGGTGGCAAACGAAGCTTACTGTGTGACAAGAACATAATTTAGCTGAAAATTACATGGCCTGACACCTTATCCCCAAGCTACCTCTGACTTATTTACTTAAGAGCACAAGGGGTTTCTGGTACCTCCCCAACCTTCCTCATCAGGTGGGTCAAAGAAAATTATGTAAGTGAAAATATTTCAGCAAGTCCAATACAGATGGACACTTTGGTTTGTGTTTCACTAAGGATGAGAAGGGAAAAGAGACCCAACTGAGTAAGAGGTTTTTGAGAACAAGTAACTCTCCAGAGGAAGCACTGGTTTTCTTCAGCAGGTCTCAGGCGTGAGAACCTATGGATCGTCTGTCGAAGGGAGAAATCCAATCTCTAAACAAACATGTTACAAACGTTCACAGACCTGAGACTCACTGCAGTTGAAAAGGCAGGATAGGGCCAGGCGCGGTGGCTCAAGCCTGTAATCCCAGCACTTTGGGAGGCCGAGGCGGGTGGATCACGAGGTCAAAAGATCTAGACCATCCTGGTCAACATGGTGAAACCCCGTCTCTACTAAAAAAACTACAAAAAATTAGCTGAGCGCAGTGGCGCGTGCCTGTAATCCCAGCTACTCAGGAGGCTGAGGCAGGAGAATTGCCCGAACCCAGAAGGCGGAGGTTGCGGTGAGCCGAGATCGCGCCATTGCACTCCAGCCTGGGTAACAAGAGTGAAACTCCGTCTCAAAAAAAAAAAGAAAAGAAAAGGCAGGATATTTGTGGTGTGGGTCCTGACTCCACCAGCTCTAGGTTAGCATTACTGGAAACAGACTCAGATGGAGATTCAAGGGCAAGAGGCTCACTGAGGCACGTACTGGGGAGGCAGGGATGTGGGGCGGGGCAGAGGGAGAAGTCAGGCCGTGGTACAGCTCAGCAGAGGCCACAGCCAGGCCTATGGGGAGCTCTGCAATGGGGGTGGCCTCAGAGTGGTAGTGGGCAAAAGAGTCAACACTTTGTACCCGCAGATAGACCTGTTCAAAATAGGCAATTCCAGGAGGGGCATGAACTTGGACAAAGGAGGTCCCTTCGACTCAGATCAATGCCCACAGAAGAACTCAGCTGTGAGCTCTCAGTGGCCATACTCCCAGCAGCTGAGAGAATGATGTCTCACTGGTGAAGGGAAAACTGGGTGAGGGAGTCCCTATTGAGAGAGCAAGGGGTGCAGTAATCTCTAGGAGACTCAGTTAACTCATGTGTCCAATGGGAAGAATTGTAACCATTATTGCACATGGTCGTTAAAGAAATAAATGAAAAAGTGTATTTGAAAAGTGACATTGAACCCTGCATTATGTTACGTAATTATTGGCTAGTAAGATATGCATATAGCAAAGGGGATAGAACGAGTGATACCTGGCACCATTTCACATGCCCCCATGTGGAGCACAAACTGTCACTCAGCAAGTGCCTTTTAACCAACTCTTACATGCCTTGTGTCGTGCTGAGTCCTGGGAATAAAAAGACACATAAGACATGACCTCCTGCAAATGCCAAGAGGTGTATTACTGAGTTAGCTAAAAACATGGGGAAGGAAAAGACAAGATTATTCTTATTTGTAAAAGATTTCTTCATGTGTCCAGAAAGCTCAGAAGAATCAAGTTAAATGTTATGAAAATCAATACAACATTGCTGAAACCAAACATCAATAGCTTTCCTAGAAGTTGGCAGAATGTAATTGGAATGTGTGAAGAACAAAATCTTGCTTCTAGAGGCAAAAAAATGGACAGCAATGTTTTTAAAGAGAAAGGTACTTTGTAAAATAATGTTCATAATATCCATAACAATGTTATTCGCTACAGCCAAATGTAGGAGCAACTCATATATCCTTTGACAGATAAATGGGAAAAGAAACTCCGATATACTCATAAGAGGAAATATTCTTCCACCTTAAAAAGAAAGGAAATTGCCGGGCGCGGTGGCTCACGCCTGTAATCCCAGCACTTTGGGAGGCTGAGGCAGGTGGATCACGAGGTCAAGAGATCGAGACCATCCTGGCCAACATGGTGAAACCCCGTGTCTACTAAAAATACAAAAATTAGCTGGGCGTGGTGGCGTGCGCCTGTAGTCCCAGGTAGTTGGGAGGCTGAGGCGGGAGAATTACTTGAACCTGGGAGGCAGAGGTTGCGGTGAGCCGAGATCGCACCATTGCACTCCAGCGTAGCGCCTGGAGACGGAGCAAGACTCTGTCTAAAAAAAAAAAAAAAGATCGATGGAGTAGGCATGGGGTGGGGTTGGTCTTGTTTAAGTAAAGGCAATGCCTTCCGGAAAGGTTCCCCAGACTACACCTGCAATCTGATCTACAGGAAGGCGGTTAAGGAGGCACCAGTTGGCCAACCCTTTCTT